TTTTTTTTTTTTTTTTAATGATTTTGAGTTTTGGTCCACAGTGTTCTCCCACTCTATCCAGGATTTCCTGCACTGACCTCTTTCTGAGGAATTGACAGTGGTAGCTGGGCACCATCTAGTTCTTCTGGTCCCATGGTCATATAGACTGAGGATTGCATGGTCCACTAGTCCCTTGGACTAATGGATGGTTTCTATGTGTCTTTGGTTTTCTTCATTCTTCTTTGCACTGGATGAGGAGAGACTCATTGTTGCATCTAGATGGCTGCTCACAAGCTTTTTAAGACCCCAGTCACTACTCATCAAAATAGGACATAGAACAATGTTTTTGTGTAGTTGTTGTTGTTATTGTTGTTATGTGCCATCGAGTTGGACCTGACTCATAGCGACCCCTCCTTGGGTTTCCGAGGCAGTATCACTACGGAAATAGATTGCCCAACATTCCTTCCAGGGAGTGGCTGGTGGGTTTGAACCGCCAGCCTTCTGGTTAGCAGTCAAGTACCTTAAGGCACTAAGCTACCAGAGCTCCTTTTTGTGTAGTATGGTATGCCAATTGAGCTTGATAGGATGTAGACATTTTTTGGGGGCCAATATCCAGCCTACTATAGTATAATGCCCTAGCAGAATTCACCTCTCTCAGTTTCCAGCCTTCTATATGCATGAGGAGAAGCTCTGGTAGCGTAGTGCCTAAGGCATTTGATTGCTAACCAGAAGGCTGGGGATTGAAACCTACCAGCCACTCCTCCGAAGAAAGATCAGAGGATGTACTTCTGTGGTGATACTGCCTTGGAAACCCAAGGAGGTGTCGCTGTGAGTCAGATCCAACTCCACGGCAGTGAGTTTGGTTTTTGTTTTTGATATGCGTGAGGGGAAAGGGATTTTTTTTGGGGGTATTTCTGTCTTTGTTGCTGCTTACTTAATTCTGTGAAGAAATAATGTCTTCTGTGTTTATGTGGACAAGCTGGGGTTGAGACACATTCTACAATGATGAAGACTGATAATTAATGATACTGTAATGATGTAATGGCAGGGAAGGCCACACATTGGCAGTTGAGACCTATGAGTTTTAGATAGTAATTATTAAAACTTGCCCCATAGTGCACAGCCAGCTACCCATAGGGAGCAAGTAGCTGGACCTGTGAGCTTGGGACCATAGTCTCAGGGGACATCAAGCTCAATTGGCATAACATACTACACATTGTTCTACCTCCTACTTTGGCGAGTAGCGACTGGGATCTTATAAGCTTTCAAGCAGCCATCTAGATGCAGTGATGGGTCTCACCTCGTCCAGAGCAAGAATGAAGAAAACAAACCCAAGATTCATGGAAACAATTAGTCCAAGCAAGGGGTACACCATGTGATCCTCAGCCTATACGACTATGAGACCAGAAGAACTAGATGGTACCTGGCTACCACTGTCAATCACTTGGAGGGGCATCTATGTAGGAGATCCTGAATAGAGTGGGAGAACAATGTGGAACAAAACTCAAAATCATTTGGAGAAAAAAAAAAGGGACCAGGTTTTCTGGTCTGATAGAGCTTGGTGGAACCACTGAGACTATGTCCCCTACTGCCCTTCAGGTCTGGAATTGAACCCACACCTGTGGGTTCCAGACAAACAAAAGACAGGCATATGAGGTAAACATTTAGGTGCTTGACTGCTAATCAGAAGGCTGATGGTTCAAACCCACGAGCCACTCCTCGGAAAGAAGGTTGGGCAATCTACTTCCGTAGTGATACCACCTTGGAAATCCAAGGAGGGGTTGCTATGAGTCAGGTCTGACTCGATGGCACATAACAACCACTACACAAAAACATTGTTCTACATCCTATTTTGATGAGTAGTGACTGGGGTCTTAAAAGCTTGTGAACAGCCATCTAGATGCAACAATGGCACATAACAACAGCAACAACAGGTACACTCCTTGGAGAGAACAATCATGGGAGAATAGAAGGGCTGTGTATGCACAGAGACATAGCTCAGGGGGCCAGTGTGCATGGAAGGAACAACACAGGGAAGAGGTGACTGTTGGGAGGAAGAGGGAGGGGAGCTGTTGCATTCTGGTAAATTGTAGTCAGTGTCATAGACAAAGTGTATGTGAATTGCTGTATGGAAAGTGAATTTGCTCTGTAAACTTTCACCTAAATCACAATAAAAATGAAAAATACTGGCCCCATAGTGACTTGTTCAGTGACCTAATGGAGTCTCCTCCCTCTCACTTTTAGGCCTACACACAGAAGTACATCGTGAAGAACTATTTCTACTACTACCTATTCAGGTTTTCCGCTGCTCTGGGTGAAGAAGTGTTCTACATCACCTTCCTCCCATTCACTCACTGGAACATTGACCCTTATTTGTCCAGAAGATTGATCATCATCTGGGTTGTAAGTATCATTGTCTGCTGTCCACTACTATGGACTTGTCCACTTACCTGTTTTGTTATCCAGCTACTTTGTGCATATGGGTTTTGTGTGTGTGTGTATTTTGAACATCACTCAGAGTAGAATTTGTTACCAGATTTCTTTGGAAAAATTATCTAGGAAAAAATGAAACAGTAGAAACACATTATTTTCTTTAGTTTGTAATCTCATATACATTGTTCACCTTCCCGGAGGTGAATGAAACTAGAGGAGGGGAGAAAACAGGGCCTTTCTGAGAACTTAGTAGAGGTAGAAAATGGATCCTCCTGAAAGGTCTTTTTAGTAAAATTTTATCAAAGACTAAAACTGGAAGGCATCAACTAATAATTTCAAAAGGTACTAAGCAACTGCTCTCTCTGCACTAAAGAGATAAGAGCATGTGAGCAGGGTACCTTCCTTGAAAGAACATCTAGGCTAGTTGGGCAGCCAGCATAGACACAAAAACCAAATGGCAAGGTGAGCCCTTTCTGTGTTTTGCTTGGACCATATCATTTAACTTCTTTGAGAGCCAAATGAGTTCTGATGTTTTGAGGGGTTAGAGGGCTGGGAGGTAGGTGGACAGTTCTGAAGGCCATAGGGCATCCTTAAAGTATATGGTCTTTGGCGTCACAAATGCCTGAGTTCAAGTGCTGCTCAGCTGTCTGTGTGCTCTTGCCCTGAGCCTTATCTCCCTCCTCTGTGAAATGGGGTTAATAATGTGTGTGTGTGTGTGTCCCCAAATGGTTGTGAAGACGTATCAAGTGTCCACAGTGCTCAGTTGCTGGCATGTCGGAAGGCTTGAGAAGTTGCCGTTTGAGTGTGAGAATACACAGTGACTACTCTGTGAAGGGGAAGATTGGTCAGTTCTAAGGTCACAGACAGTCTAGTCAGGACAGGGGGCATCCGGGCGAGTGAGGATGCTAGGACAGCTATTTCCATGATGTAGGATTCTGTACTCAAGACAGGTGCAGAAGCCCTTGGTTGCTAAAAGAGTCTGGGTTCTTGTATAAGGAGCTCTGGTTGTATAGTGGGTAAGACATTTTGGCTGCTAACCAGAAGGTCAGCAATTCGAACCCACCAGCTGCTCCACACGAGGAAGATGAGGTGATCCACTTCTGTAAAGATTTACAGCCTTAGAGACCCAATGAGGGTCACTATGAGTCAGAATCAACTCAATGACAGTGAGTTTTTGGGTTTTGGGTTCTTGTATGGCTCTGTCTCTGAGAAGCTGTATGATCTTAAGCAGGTGAGTTCTCTGTTCAGGACTTGATTGTTCTCATTTGGAGAACAAGTTCGCATGGCCTTGAGGAGGTTGCCGTATACTCAGCTGCCTTCAGAGGCAGAGAGAGAGAAACCAGGTGTGGGGTGTAAATGTGAGTCATTCACCAGGTGGCCTCCCGGGACTGTCCCAAGGGAAAATGAGGCCAGAGTTGTCAGGTCTCCCTGTTTTTCATGTGAACTCTCCAGGTTTTTAAATGTAGGCTTACACTGTTAACACATCATATGTCAAAAAGAACCGTGGAAGTCCAAATATGTGAGCCCTGGTTTAAAGTCTGTAGCCTCCGTGACCACCTGGGTCCCTAGAGCTGTGATTGTTTGACCCTGCATTCTGTTTTCTCTTTTCCTCTCAAACACTGCTAGCCACGCGCCATTCCCCACTCCCTCTCTGCTAACCTGCCTTCTTCTGAAATCTGACTTCTGTCTAAAAGTATAATCCAAGAATCTGCAGATACAAATGCAGGTCATAAAAGTGACTGTTGCACCCAAATCCTAATAAAAAAAAAATAAATAAATAAAGGGAAAAAAAAACCTAAAAAAAAAAAAAAAAGTGACTGTTGGTCCAGTTGTCTCTCTCCCTTTCCAGAGGCAGCTTCTGTGTCTGTGGTGAAGGGATGGCACCCAGAGCTGGCCAAGGGGCTTCATGGGGGCAAAGGAAGAGAGAAGGGGGAACATTCCTTCTGTGCTTCAGATTTGAAATCCCACAAAAGACCCAGAGTGCATGAGGTTTTGCACTCTATCATTTATTGCTTGAGATTGAAAAAAAAAAATTTCCGACTTTTTATGGCAGTTGAGTAGGTGGCAAATGATGGACTTTGAATAATCTGGGAATGTCTGATAAAGTGTATGATCAGCTCAAAGCCAATTCTCTCCTCCTCTGGGGCTGGCAGATTTTTCCTGAGGGACTGGGAAGACCTTTAGACTTGGTAGGGTGTGGTGGTGAGGAGTAGATAGGTGTCATTAAACTAACCAACCAACCAACCTGTTGCATTGATTCTGACCCATGGTGACCCCATGTGTTACAGAGTGGAACAGCTCCATGGGGTTTTCTCGGAGGGCTTGCCAGACTTTGCTTCTGCAGCACCACTGGGGGGGGGGGTTTGAACAGCCAGCCTTTAGGCAGTGTTGTTGTTGTTTGCCGTTGAGTCTGCCCGACTCATAGCAACCCCTCCTTGGATTTCCGAGGCAGTATCACTACGGAAGTAGGATTGCCCAACCTTCCTTCCGAGGAGTGGCTGGTGGGTTTGAACCGCCAGCCTTCTGGTGAGCAGTCAAGTGCCTTAGGCACTATGCTACCAGAGCTCCATAAATTGTACCATGCAGGGACCATTATAGATGGTTATTTTACACTTTGGATTTGTTTCAAAGGTACTCAAAGGATTGCCTGTTTGAGACAGAATTATGAGTCTTACATCAGAATGAGCAAATCCAATATGCACCTAAGAAAGGAAAGAGCAATCTTTGAGTCTCTACTTTGTCCTGGGTTTGGTGGCCTGTTACCTGAGATTTAAAATGGAGCATGCCTTGTCCGTGCTGAGAGTTCTGGAGTTCTTCCGTGTGGTCAGCTGTGGCTACGTCTATAAGAGCAGTGTGGACAGGTGTGGTTAGTATGTGCATTTTGGGTGGATCCTAGTGGAGAGAGGGAATGCTGGCCGTTCCACGGAGTGGAGAGTGTGAGTGGAGAAGGGTGCGCTGTGCGTGGCTGCAGCAATGATAATGAAAAGTGCCTGTTGTTGGCACCAGGGGTGAAGGTGGATGAAAGGAAGGGAAATTCTCAGTCTTGTTGGGGGTTGGGCTGGAAGGTAAAGGGGAACAGGGCGCGATTCGGGCAGCCAGGGCAATCAGCTTCCTGCTGAGTGGCTTTCTCATGTAAGGGATATCCCTAAATTAATGGCTGCCTCTTCTTGGGGATTAAGGAATGTTAATTACTTAAGAGGCTCAGCTTAAAGTCTTGTAACTTTAATCACCTTCTGTCCCCCAAAATTACTTAGAAGACAGCTGCGTTCAAGGGTGTCAAATCTCTTGTTAAATTTTTAATTTGATAGTTCTCATTGAATGAAGACCCAACAGATTTCATTGCTTTTAAAAATCATTTGTGACGTTGGTGATAACTGTCTGATTTGGTTTAGTTGAATTGTGGTTATATTAACTACTCTGTCTTGAGAAATGGTTTTAATTCCTCTGGAGTCCAGATTTTTGGCTTTCATATAGGTTGAGCTAACCCACCCAGGCCACTGCCCTTAGGTGTCTTTTTGAACCTTGAGCGTTGAAGAAAATGGTGTCTGAAAAGTCACCTTTAAATCAAACAGTGGTCTAGATAAACTAGTAAAAACCAATTTGCCTGCCTTTGGCACTGGGCTCTTTTGAAGAATTGTCTATATACAGTCAGTCTCAAGGAACAGAACCTCCAGTGTCAGACTAGAAGCTATGTTTTAGGGTAAATTGTTATTATAGGCTGTCCCCAGATTACCAACGAATTCTGTTCCAAAATCTGTCAAATGTTTGTCTGAGTAGACAGCATACTTCTATGCATAAAAAAACATTAAAGAAACCTTTCTAGATACACTCAAACATCTTGAAATAGTAATACGGTAGTAATAATAATGTTTGGATGTGTGTCACAAAGTAGTGCCCATTTTTTATTATGAACCATTGTAGGTATCTTGAATTTTTAATATAATAGACTTCATGAGAGTTGTTTTGTAAATACAGTTGTACATAAATTAGACATTCCTAACCCAGGAACTGCATGTATATAAATACTGCTCTGGCCCAGTTTCCATGACAATGTCACTAAGATGTGGTCTAAGAATGTTGGAAGTTCTTTTCATCTTTGGAACATTTTTGACTCCCTAGTTAAGGAGCTCTGGTGGTGCAGTGGTTAATGCATTTGGCTGCTAACCAGAAGGTCAGTGGTTTGAACCCACCAGCCACTCTGTGGAAGAAAGATGAGGTAGTCTGCTTCTGTAAAGATTTATAGTCTTGGAAAGCCAATGGGGGTTGCTATGAGTCGGAATTGACTTGATGGCTGTGAGTTTGGGGTTTTTTTTTTGAGTCAAAATGTTACCTTGATGTTCAAATTGTATATTAAATAAACGTCAAATCAATTTCTATTATTGGCTTAATGCGATTTTTGTTTTAACACTTCACAATCCTAATTGTCCCTCCCCTCTATTTCATATCTCTTATTGCATCTGTGTCCATTATCTTTTTTGATCTTCACAACCATTGATTAGTGTCATTTTCATCACTTTATAGATTAGGATAAAAACTGTTGCTGTTGAGTCAATTCCAACTCATAGCACCTTTATAGGACAGAGTAGAATGCCCCATTGGGTTTCCTAGGCTGTGATCTTTATGGAAGCAGACTGCCACATCTTTCCTCTGTGAGGCAGCTGGTAGGTTTGAACCACCAACCTTTCATTTATCAGTCAAGCACTTAACTACTGTGTTACCAGGGCTCTTTATAGATGAGGATAGTTGTGTTAATTGTCTAGTGCTGCTATTATAGGAATGTTGTTGTTGTTTTGTGCCGTCAAGTTGGACCCAACTCATATAGCACAAATGAATGGCTTTAACAAACAAATTTATTTTCTCAACATTTAGGAAGCAAGAAGTCCAAATTCAGAGTGATGCAGGAACAACTAGGTTCTTACCACCTGTTGTGACTAGAGCTGATCACCAGGACAGGTTGAAGTGTAAAAGCA